AATTAGCCATTGTTTTTTTTTTTTTATTGAAGGGCTTGTAATTACTGAATTTTTGTAGTATTAGAAAATCATGATTTTCGTCCTTATCTGATGTGGAGAAAAAATCATGTACTGACATAATGAGTTTATATTATACCCATGTTTAATCTCATTTGTTTCTTTTGAATATGTGCTTACGTTAGATGATTTTGTAATACATATGATTTGTGCACATTTGATTTGTGATTTTAGAAGAATTTTGGATGAATTGTGAAATCTTTTGCAAAGATATTTTGTTGATATTTTGGATTATTGAATTTCTAACATGTGAATTCTTCAAGAACCATGACAAAAGATTTAATCGTTCTTTGTAGATTAGCCGCTATAGTAAATAAATTACTTGATTTGTGCTTCTGTATTTTGACTTTTTCCTGGTTTAGAGGTTTTTGAAGAATCTACACTAATTGCTGTGAGAAATCCTTTCCAAAATACTTTGTTTTGCTAATTATCAATTTTTGTTTTAATTTTTTTACGTTTTTTATATTTATTTGTTTTTTTTTCTGATTTATGGATTTTCAAAAATCTAGATTAAATTTTCTAAAAAAAACTGTACACTATTATGTTTTGAACTTTCATGTGTTATATAAATTCTTGCATTGTAGATATTTGATGAGGTTGCTATTAGAATGAAATTAATGATTCATGTCTTTTGCTCTTCACTGGACGATCAACTACTACAAATTCAAACTGAAATGGTTGAGTTGAAGAAGCAACAAACCAAAGAGATGATTTGTTGCATTTGAGCTTGAGTTATGAACAAATTGATTCTTTATATGCAAAGATGTGTCCAATAATAGAATTTTAACTCATACGGGATTGGTGCAATCACTAGGGATCCTCTAGTTTTTGAAGTGGGTGATGTAAATTTTGTTTAGTGCTTAGAAACATGCAATGCTCCTAGCTCCTACTTTTTGCTGTTGTTGATACGAGAGTTTAAAACTAAAAGTGCATGTTACTATGCAGTTTAGTCTTCCTTTTAAATGTATAAATTAGGTTCAAATCAGCAGCAGTTAATATTGATCATATCATCTACTTGTTAAAAAGTCATGTCATGTGGTAGCATCTCATCAATGGGCAACGGATTTTGTTTACTAGTATAGGCCACCTTTTTAGTGTTTATAACTTTTTTTTGAAATTTTTTCACTTTTTGATTGTGTTGTCATTTTTTTTGGAGTTTGTGTCACTTCTTTTTTTAAAAAAATTTTGTCACTTTTTTGAATATGTAACTTTTTTGAACGTATGTCACTTGTTTTGAATTTATATAACTTTTTTGATTGTCAAAATTTTTTTTCTATCACTTTTTTAGGATTTGTCACTTTTTTTAAAAAAATCTCTGTCATTTTTTTTTTAGTTTTTGCCACTTTTTTTAGTGTCACTTTCTTTTTGTAGAATTGAACTTTAATAATATCTCAACAATCTTGGTTTACAAGGAAAGTCACGTTATATTATCCGCACGAGATAATAATGGATTTAAATGAAAAGTTTAGTCACTTTATTAAACTGATTTGAATACTTTAATTGGTGTTTTTTCAAAATTTCTAATTTTTGTCATTTTTTTTAGTGTTTTTTACATTTTTTAGATTTCCACCACATTTTTAATGTTTATCACTATTTTTGAATTTCTATTACTATTTTT